GCTACCTGGCAGCACTGCATCATAAATATAATGTTGCACAACAGGTAAACACACACGCATGAACATACATGACATCTACATCTATCTGTACTCCTGACTCCATTTTATGTCACTTTGAATCTTTTCTGGCGGCCTCCCCTGGAGCAGATTGAGGTACTGCAGTTTGTTGCATTGTTTTGTCTTTTAGATTAAAAAAAAAAAAGTTGTGTTTGTCCTATGTCTCTGTGCTATTGTTATTCCACAAAGAGTTTTTTTAACCTAATGTCGTTGAATTCTTGTTAGATACTTGAAGCAGCTCCTCTGCTGGAATCTTTTGGAAATGCCAAAACTGTGCGGAACGATAATTCCAGTCGCTTTGGGAAATACATAGAGGTCTTTCTGGAGGAGTGAGTATGAACTGATTCAATGACGTGTTTAAATGATAACATTATAATGTGATCTCACCTCCATAATCCCGATCACGTTGTCTCTTTCTTCAGTGGTGTAATCAGTGGTGCCATAACCTCTCAGTATCTGTTGGAAAAGTCCCGTATTGTCTTCCAGGTGCAGACACAGAGAGCCAACATGAAACTTTATGTTCTTTACTCTACTCTGCTGTGAACTGAAGTGATAAATACTGTGTGTGTATTTCTGTCTCAGGCCAAAGATGAGAGGAACTATCACATCTTCTACGAGATGCTGGCAGGTCTGCCCTCACAGCAGAAGCAAGCGTTCTACCTACAGGAGGCTGAGACCTACTATTACCTCAACCAGGTAAAAGAAATATATTTACAACTAACAACTTACTAACTACCCTTCCTCCATATGTATTTGTTTTATATTTACTTGTCCTTCTCTTCTCTCTTCTGGACAGGGAGGAGACTGTGGAATAAATGCTGCCATGGAGATCCTTCACTTTGCTCCTGAAGACCAACTCTCAATTTTTAGAGTTCTTTCCTCTGTGTTGCACCTGGGCAATGTCTACTTTCAGAAACACGAGGTAACTTCTCCTGTTCACCTCAAATATAGGTAACACTCTGGCTTCCAAGATTATTCAGGACAGGAACAATAACATTGAAACAAGCTGTAACCTGGAGAAAAAAAAATCACATGATTTCGATCTCCCTGCTGCAAAACAGGCTGACGGCCAGGAGGTGGCGTCCGTGGTGAGTGCACAGGAGATCAGAGTGGTGGCAGAGTTGCTGCAAATTTCTCCTGACGGATTGCAAAAAGCCATCACCTATAAAGTCACTGTAAGTCATGCACTACATGGGCTAGCATGTAGCATTATTTAAATTTGTCTAAGTTTTAAAAAAAAGAGATTTAATTTTGATTCTTTGGTTCTTTGACGTTGCCGTCAGTCACTGGTGTTGTATTCAGAGTTTGACCTTTTGTTGACCGCCGGGTAGCTTTGTAGTATATCAGTGTATCAATCTTTAATTATGACACACACACACACACGCTGAGGTTCATGTACATGCCGTCCATCACAGTGTCAGTTAATGGTACGGTGTATTACCCTCAGACTGCTGTCATCCAGACAAAAGGTGACAGATGTGATGATCACACATGCAGAGTTAAAGGAAGTACTTTCACCTGTGTTCGTCTCTGAGGTCGTCTTCACTAAGGCTTTAATTCCATGCCAACAGTACAGACATATTTGAGTGGTTTTTTTTAGAAAGACATCTGCATGGAAACCCAAACTCTGGTTTAACCCCTGTTGTCTTCTTGTCTTCTCCAGGAGACGATGAGGGACAAGATTTACACTCCACTGACTGTGGAAAGTGCCGTAGATGCCAGGTGAGAGTACAACACTGTGTACTTTCTACTTCAGCGCTCTGACAGTTCGATACTGCTGATGCACAAATGTCTCCTCAACTTCTCTCATACTGTGACTGTTTCCTCCAACATTCTTTGCGTTCCCAAGAGATGCTGTTGCCAAGATCCTGTACTCGCTGCTGTTCCACTGGTTAACAGAGCGGATCAACGCTCAGGTGTATCCTCGCCAACACTCCCTCTCCATCTCCATCCTGGACATTTATGGATTTGAGGTGAGAGACTGGTTCTAATGGAACACACAGGTGGACACTTACGGTAATTTTGTGTGTGTATTTTTGTGCTCAACGGTTGTGTGTGTGTTCCGACAGGATCTGACCTTCAACAGCTTCGAGCAGCTTTGCATCAATTATGCAAACGAGTACATGCAGTTCTTCTTCAACAGGGTGGTTTTCAGGGAGGAGCAGGTGAGTCAGACGTACAACTGAAGGACAACAGTTTCTAAAACCTGGTTAATACTGTGGAGAATAGAGGATATGACATGGTGTGTCATGTGATCACACCACAGGAGGAGTACAGCAGGGAGCAGATCCCGTGGCAGGACATCCCATTCAATGACAACCAGCCCTGCATCGACCTCATTGCCACAAAGCCTCATGGGATACTGAGGATTCTGGATGATCAGAGCTGTTTCCCACAGGTGAAGTACGGACGAGAACATGTTTGTGGTCCTGGAAACATTTGAAGTTATTAAACATGTCCCTTTCTATTGGTGTGATCTTCTTCCAGGCAACAGATCACACCTTCCTCCAAAAGTGTCACTATCACCATGGCAACAACCCACTGTATCAGAAACCAAAGATGCCACTTCCAGAGTTTACCATCAAGCACTTTGCCGGCCGGGTCACCTACCAGGTAAACATGACATCTTCTAAACACCAGGGCAGGAAGTCAGTTATTGTACTGTTGGCAAGGCTCACTGCAAAGTAACCTTTTACTTATTTATTTCTTTATTTAGTTGTCAAAGTTAACTTCTGGGATATATTTAGCCAAATGTCTAGCTCAAGGTTTTTCTTTATTTAGTTTTGTTATTTAGTTGTCAAAGTTAACTTTGGGATATATTTAGCCAAATGTCTAGCTAAAATGTTATGACTATTAGCTAGTTACTAGCTAAAAAAAGCATTATTTTCTGTATTTCTATCTAATGTAGATTCTTCTTAAGCTATATATATTTTAGCTATTTTTGGGTAAATTTGCAAACCTTTGCAATTGTCCTGACATTGATTGGTTAATAGCGATTGCTGCTGTGATTGTCTATAATTGACAGGTTCATAAGTTCCTGGATAAGAACTACGACCAGGTTCGTCAGGACATCCTTGATCTGTTCATCCAGAGCAAAAACAAGGTCAGAGAGGAAAAACACATGATAGCAGAACATCATACATCTGATGTCAAGTGTGTTCTTACTGAAATAATAAAAAAAAACAAAACAATAAATGTAAATGTAATTTATTCTTCATGTCACTCAGATGGTGTCAAACCTGTTCTTGGCTCACGGAGAGGTCACGGGGCAGCAGAAAGGGGGTCACCAGAGGAAAAGCAGCACAGTGACCAGGAGGTACCAGGCACCGACTGTCAGCAACAAGTTCCAACAGTCCCTGCTGGAACTGTTGGAGAAGATGGAAAGGTGAAGAACCTGCTTTAAAGTGTTACGCAAAAACGACTGTAGATTTAGGAGACTAAAATATTTGCTCTCTGATTTCAGATGCAATCCTTTTTTCATTCGCTGCATTAAGCCAAACCATATGAAGGTAGAGTTCATGTCCTACAATGAAGTGTATATATGAATGTATAGATGTAAGATGGTTGTGATCTCACTGCTGTGTTCATTTTTATTTTGTTTTCAGCAACCAGGTATGTTTGAAGACGAACTGGTGACCAGCCAACTGCGACACTCGGGAATCCTTGAAACCATTCGCATCAGACGAGAGGGATTTCCTGTCAGGATGCCGTTCTACGCTTTCCTCTTCAGGTGTTTATGGATTTTTTTTTTTTTACAAAAATTACTGCTTAATATATGTACTTTAATATATGTTTTGATACACGTAGACACCATGTGTATTTACTAACTTGTCCTCCTCAGGTATAAGTCTCTGGTGGGGATTCAACAGGTTCCGGCTGCAAACGGAGATAATTGCGTGATCATGCTGAGTAAACTGTGTCCTCTCAGACCAGGACTGTTCTATGTCGGAGTCACAAAGGTGACAGTTTTCCCAGTTCACCGTCTTATTCGTTATTACAGATAAAATAATATCAATGTATTGTTTTAAAATGTTCTTTTCTTTTGTCTCACGTTGGTCTGTATGTGCTTTTGTATCAGATGTTTCTGAAGGAGGATGTTTACCAGTTACTGGAGTGTAAACGGGAGCGCTCCCGTGCACTTGCCGCTCTCACCCTGCAGCGTTACACCCGAATGTTCTTTGTGAGAAAACGCTTTATGGCCTTTCGCAAGAAGATCATCGGCCTGCAGGCACATTGTCGAGGCTACCTCGTGAGGTGATGGAGATTTTTTTAACTTGTGTATTAAATAATTCACAAATGCATACGTATGTGTTTATCTGTATATATTATATATATATATATAATAATTTGAACAACATATTTTTTTATTTAAATCACATGTATGTAATTGACTGAACAGCAGAGGGCACATCTGCTGAAAGTGTTAAAAATTAGAAAACGCTAAGAAAAATTAGTAATAACGTCATCTAAGACAGAGAGAGTCAGCGACTTCTGGTGGTTTGTTAAGGTACTGCAGAGAGGGTTAATGACATTGTACCGCAACTTCAAGTCTTGATAAGGAATACATGCACCGAATAATATATAGTAATAATAATGTAATATTCATATTAGCTGCTGCCTTATTAATGGCCACTGTTTTTCTCCAGGAAGAGCTTCATGAAAATGAGAAATAGCCTGGTTCGATTTCGCTCCCTTGTTCACATGTATGTGAACCGCAAGCAGTACATCAAGGTACATGTAGTGGGCTTTCAAAATGTTTTTCTTCTGCAATTCTTATGTGTTAAATTGAATTGATGAGTGAGCATGTATATCAAATTCAGTAATTCTGATTACTGTTATGTCGTGTCTGCTGCAGAGGAAGTTTGAAGCTCGGAGGAAAGCTGAGAAGGTGAGACAGTGACCAGGACAGACTGTTACTGAGAAGAAGGCACATAAATGGTTTTCATTTTTTTCTCAAACAAGACTGGAACCCTATTAAAATATTTTTTTATAATTGTTTCCAGGAGCTGACTAAGAGGGAGGTGGTCAACGTCACACACCTGGTGATTCCTGCAGAGCTGGGTTCTTTGTTGAAGACGGCAGGAGGTCAGTAGACCTTTGTTTGTCTTCTCGTTTGGTTTAGATAAATGTAAATATAGTAAAAATAGTTTTGGTTCATTATCATATCTAATACTGCTTATGTGTGGATGCTGATTTGACCTCTTCACCCCAGTCAGGAGGGAGCTGCACTCAGACTGTTTGGCTCTGCTTCAAGCCCCTCATATCCAGGAAGCGGCTCAACTCACTCTGCCTCTGGACATCAATAACTATCCTTTCTACCGCTACGTACAGATCTACTTCAAGGTGCGGGAGAGTTCAGTTAGCTTGAAGTTATTAACACAGTGTAATGTATTATGCACATAATGTACTTTCTCTTCAGTGTAATAGAAATGCTGTTCTTATATATACAATTGTTGTTGCCTTTTTTTAAAATCAGAGGCAACGACATCATCCTAAATCCCGTAGTTACAAATCATGCAGATTGCAGTCCATATTAATTCTACAGAGTGTGAATGATTATTTTTCAATAACAACAATATCATTGTTTATGAAGGAACCAAAGTTTGGCATGTTGACGGCTCCTCTGGAGACACCGCTGACCAGAGTGGAAGAAGACGTCAAAAGGGAGGCTCTCGAGCTTTTCATCATGGTAGGCTGTCGTTCCTCATTAACCCCTTTGTTATGAATAATGTTACTACTACTACTACTGATAATAATAATGTGAATAATGTTACTACTACTGAAAATAATAATAATAATAATAATAATAATAATAATAATAATGCAGTAGGGCCTGACTGTATTTGTCCGTAGGTGTTAAGGTTCATGGGCGACCCTCACCTGAACGGGGCTCAAGAAAACATGTTTGGGAATTACATCGTTCAAAGGGGACTGATGTCTCCGGGGTTACGGGATGAGATCCTGTCTCAGATCGTCAACCAGGTCTGGAGGAATGTGAACGTAGAGAACGCAGAGAGAGGCTGGCTTCTGCTGTTAGCGTGCGTCTGCAGCTTCGCGCCGTCGCCCAAGATGGACAAATATCTGCTGAAGTATGTGTCGCGTGAGGAGTAACAATGATGAAAGATGTTTCTGGAACTGTCCCTCATACAGTGCAGGGTAATGTCCTCTTCAACCTTCCAGGTTTGTGTCAGACCACGCCCCTGCTGGCTGCCAGGCGCTATTGCAGCACAGACTCATCCAGGCCAGTCACAAAACACAGTTGGGCTCGGGGTTCAGCCAGGAGACTGCGAGGACCTACCCTCTCTCTCTGCTGGAGTGGACGGCCAACAGGAAGAAGGCCAACATGGCGCTGCATGTGCACTGTTTTGATGGTGAGAAAGAAAATGTGTCAGTTTGTTTAATTCTACATGTCTTGTAGTTAAAGTTTGAGGGATGGTTGAATTCTGTCTTTTTTTTCTCTGCTTCACTGCAAGACCAGGATTCCAGTGTGGAATTTTTGGCATCAGCCCTAATGAGAAGGATAATTTACAACCACAGATTGTTAATTATTCATTCTCAGTATGGGATCAAGTGCACTATCTCTGTCTCTGACCTGCACAATTTATCACAATCTGATCACAGTGGGAGTTATTTCAAGGTGAAGGTGAACAGAACCGCAGTGTCTAATCTCCTTATGGCTCCTGATTTGATATTTTTACTGCAGGTCGTTCATTCCTGTGTCCGGTCCATTCGTGGACCAGTGGGGAGGATTTAGCGGTGGACATCCTCCGCCACAGGTACTGATTTTTCATGTGAGGGGGAAAAGTTCCACAGCCACTCATGTTTACTTCAGTTTGATTTTAATACAAATATATTTTTCTGCAGAGGTTTATCTGAGTGTTGGAAGGGGAGTTCCATTCTGATGAAGGAGCAAGGCCAGTGGGTGGAGCTAGCGGGCCATGACTATGTGATGGACTTGATTGCAGACCTGGAGCTTCCCACTGACTTCCCAAAGCAGAAGAGCTACTTTGTCATCAGCACAGACGACCCGGCCCGAGCCAGAGCAAACGCAAGCCTGTCAGTTCATAAAACACACACACAAATACATAATTCTATGCAAATATATATATTTTTTTAAATGTACCTTTTCCCTTCTGTGATAAACCGGTCTTCACAGGGCAATGGTCGGGGGTGGGTTTGACTCAGATGAGGAGCTCGTTCCATCAGTTCCTCTGAGCAGCGGCGGTAAACCAGCCTACAGTCTGCCTTCATCTGATGGTTACTACAGCCATGGTAAACACAAATGAACACGTTTGCTGTTTTGCATTCAAATACATGGTGAATGTGTGTACCTTCACCATAACCCACAATATCATTTCATTCATAATTATCGTTTTGTTGAACTGCAGTCGGCCTGGCCTTTTCTATAAAGTAAACATCTGGGTCGTGGCCTTGCCTCGCTCGTCTGGGTTACCAGGCAGCTGAACCTGTTCAGTCAGGGTTTTTTTTTCTTTTTCTGGCCACAGGGCTTAGACTCCAGGGGCAACACATTCGGATACTTTTTCTGGCCACAGGGTGTAGACTCCAGGGGCAACACATTCGGATATAGATTCTTAGATTCATTAATAAAATAAAATAATGGGACCAGGATGGCTGGAAAATACTTAATTATATATTGTATATGTAAATTGCAGTTTTCTTTTTGTCAATATATTTGCTGCTAGTACTAGACCATTAAAGCCAGGTTCTGGTTCTGGTTTCCTGCTTAAGGCCTGTTACCTTTTCTGCTTTGTTCAGTAGAGTCAGATACATACAGTGAGAGTCAGACACAGAGAGGAATGGACCGATACCTGGACAGTCTGTTTGACCCAGTACTGGCCGACAGCAGTGTAGTGAGTATTAAATACACCTCCCTTCTACCTTTTCACCATGTGTTCACTCTGTACTACAGTGATTCTTGTGCTCTATAAATGTCCCTCTACATGTCAGGGACATTATCACCACCTACTGTTAGGGAATGTGTATAGGTGAGACAGATTTTTTTCTTATTTATTTTGCCTTAGTAAAGCTAGTCCACAACCTAATTTGTGTTCACCACACACCATTCACTATGGTGGAAGAAGACATCTGTGCTAATGCTATGCTATATATTTAAAAATTAAAATATATAGAATAGCATTAGCACAGACTATGCTATATATTTATAAAATATATAGAATAGCATTAGCACAGATGTCGTCTTTGGCCTACAGACCTACAGTAGGTTAGTTAGTACTGGAATTTAAAAAAAAAATTCCACATAAACCCACATACAGTAAGTTTGGAATTAAAAAAAAAATTCCACATAAACCCAAAACAAAAACCTTTGATGTCTCCGTCTTCACCTGATCTGCCAACTCATCGTCCGTGTAAGAGTGGCATGGACTGATGGATGACTGAGGGAACATGTGATCCACTGCTTCTATCAGGGTATGAATGGAGGTATGATTGGGTTACGGAGCGACTGCTTAGACGTATTTGACTCTGACGGCAGCGGCAGGCAGAGAATATGCACGGTACTGTTTGGAAGAACATCCTGTCTTTAGGGACAAGAAGAAAGGAGACGGATTTAACGCCGGCTGAAGAATTTGTCACAGGTACGTTCACCTTTACAAGATGTTCTCGGGGACTGGAGAACATCCCCGGGAAATTTGTAGAAAAGCTGTGAATGAAACGACACAGGAGGAAACAGGATAGATAATAATGATTGACTATTTTTGGATGGCAGCAATTTCATTTTTTTGGTTGGTTTTTTGGAGTTTATGAATATGCCCCATTTTTTTCCAGAATCTTCTGTTCAAAGTGGTTTGTGTTGACAGTGTGTGTGTGTATGCATGCTGTGGTTTTTTTTCCACCCAGTGTGTACAGTCCTCCCCCAGAGTGTATTCAGTTTCCACAGGTCGCTCTGATGACTTGTGTAGAAGGGTTTGAATCTGAATAGAACATTTCAAACCTCATCAGTTTATTTCCTTGTTTCCTCACAGTCTTTTCATATCTGAAAGGGTTTTTCCCTTAACGTTTATTAAACGTTTATTTTAATTCTTTCTGGTCTCCAGGACATGGAAAAGTCTGGGAGTCTGGCTGCCAGGATGAAGGGAGGAGGAGGCGTAGGTGTCACAGGAGAAGGAGAAACCCGTGCGTCCTCCGGTCGACCTTATCACCCAGGAAAACTTCCTGGAGGTAAATCGTATTTGACATGTCGGCATCTGTTTCCTTCCAGATATATTTAGATGTTGGATACTGTATGCTCCGTTAAAGGGTTAAATTAAATGTGTTTTTGTCAAAGTTGATCAGTGTGAAGGTTCGGGTGTAGAGTTCACCGACCCTAATTCATCACTTAGAGGTTTTAATGAGCAGTCTGGACTCATAGATAATTCATAGGCAGCCATTCACTGTAACCACAGACTTCTTTGACTCTATAGGCTGCTCTCCTGCTCAGTCTCTCTCCTCATGCACTTTTCTCCATTTAACACAGGCTACCAGACACAGTAATGAAGACGTTTTCTAAAACTTTAGATTGTTTTGGCTAATGTCTTATAGATGTTCTTATTTTTTATATGTGATTTTAACAACTCAAACAACAGTAAAGATGTTCTGTGGTTTTGTCCTGTGAGAATTGTTACATTAATACAGTTACTTGTACAGATCATCAAAGCTCCACATTTGTCCTTTTTTGTATTATTTGTATTTTTTAAAGCATTTTTTGTCATTGCAATACTTTAAAAATATGTTACTTTATACATCAATTGACCGCTGCATGCTAACAAGGTGTTTTCTCATATCATTTATCATATCATATTTAAAAATAATTTTAGCAGGTATATGAACTTAAAAAAAGAAACAAAAACAAATAGAGGGTTTGGAAGGTTGTATTAAATGGTTTTCCAGCTCCGTCTCTTGTTAAAAAGCCTCTAATGATTCCCATGTTCCCCTACTTGCTGCTCCTCAAGCCGTGCCAGTGCTTCCAGTAGCAGGAGGAATGATGCCCCCGGTCCCTGCCATGCCAATCCCCTCTCACCACCACCACCACGAACAATATCTCCAACAGCAGCAGCAGCAACAACAACAGCCACAGCCACAGCCACAGCCACAGCCACCGCCACAATACCATCA